ATTAACCTTAAAATCGAAAATTATTATACATCAAAATTTTCAAATGACTGAATATTAGTAGATATATATATATAGAACAAAAATACTATAATACTTACACGAACTGTGACTTCTTGAGATTTGCTCTGATCAGTAGTACAAGATTGTTTTAAGGAACTACTTTCTAATTTTTTTGCATCTTTACGAATTAAATCTGAACTCATGCCCATCCTAAAACATTTAGCAAGACGACAAGCTGTGCATATATGTCGTGTCTGCATATTAATTTCACAACATTTGTCAAAACAACATGGACGAACACCCTATTAAGTAAAATAATAGATGTTACAATGAACTAAAAGTGATTCTTAAATACATACTTCTGGTCGAAAACCATTGCGACGAAAAAATGTTTTACATGATTGACAAGAAAGTGCTCCATAATTAATAATACGTGCTGTATCACCACATACCAGACAATTGTTTGATCGAGATGAATCTTCCGATTCATTTACATTTGAATCGGTATTAATTTCTTGTGATGAATATGATGCAGGTAGTTTTCGTTTAGATGACATCGAATGTTAGAAATGTTGTAAAATTCTAAAACATAGAGTTGAAAATATAATTAATATTTTTCTTATAAATTATATTTTTTTTGTACATAGGTAGTGTTTGATAGATCCAACTTATGTATAATAAAGACAACGAACTCGACAAATACAAACATTCTTCTCACCTTTATTTCTATTTGAAAATTATGCTTCATAACTGTAGGTAAAAATGATACAGATTATTTTTTATTACAATTCTTGCTCATCGGGTCATCTACAGTGCATGTTTTCTTTTTATAGAAGATATTTTTTATCATGAAGATTCTAGAAGTTAATGCAAAAAAAATGTTAATTATGACAATGAACAAATTTTTCTCATCGATGATAATATAAGATGTTTGTAAAACAAAAAAATGAATAATTTTCCTTAAAAAATCTTATTAAGATTGAAAACTGTTTTCTCTACTAATCTTTACAAATTCTCATATTGTTTTCTTTGAAAACATTGAAGTATTAGTCTATATAAATAATATGAATTCTTTTTCAAGAAATGAAATGATTAGAAGTTTTCTTTAGTTTGAGATCGAACTAATAGTAAAGCAACTTACTCTTTATCGTTGTACAATAGATAGATATGATGTTAGAGCGCAGTACAGAGAGCTTTATTGTCGTTTCCTCTCGTTCTGTCTGTCCCAGTGCGCTTTATATATATATTTCTTTTCCTCTTCTTTTTCTTTTGCTTTTGTCCCATTGTCGACAACGAAGAGTCAAGAGAACATTCTTCTAATTCTGTATTTCAATGTAACATAGAAACTAATGTTCAATGTGCTAATATTTATCAAAAAAATACTTTCTTAATTCGAAAATATTGTAATATATGTGATTAATTGTTAGAAAAATTATATTAATTTAATGATGAAGTTTAATTAACAAAATATATTAGTTTTCGGATAAAAATCGATTAAATGGTTTTATTTGTAGAAAAGTAAGTTAAGAAAATTTTGATATACATATTCATTAAAACAATAAATCTTTTTCTTTTCAAACATGATCTCTATACTTTAAATCTTC